TGACTACAAGATACTATATGGACCTAAGTTTTTCGTCATCTTTATACAGAAAGCTGGTTCCTTATAACCCTACGATATAAGCCTTATACTTTTATCGGTTTACACATCAAAGAGAGTCATGTGCATGTAGCGACATGCGTGGCCGGTGTCATGTTTTTGCATATGTCTTCCTAACGACCATCCATCAGAATATGGCGTTTCGGTTGAAGGTATGATCGCTTTCCCCAAAACTGCCACATCGGTGGAGCTCTGTACCGCTGAATGTTATCTGTATTAAGTTCCTCTTGCATCCATTCATTAAAAATGAAATAAGAGTCCCTTTGATACTTCCCATCATGCATATTGGGGTTCTATGATAATTCTTTCCATATGGCCCCGATATCCATCGCTTGAGAGCAAGACTCCCCTGCCATCCACATGCCCATTCTTTGAAGCTCCCAAAGCATATGAAGGGTTTTAGTGGATATATGAAATGGTCCATCACAATGACATGGCTAGGCTACTTCCCATGCCAAATGTTGAGCCTTCAAATGGGAATCTCCATGCATTTGGCAGCTCACAACCATGAACACCTTCAGAGAAAACTAATGGGATCATACTCCAACCTGCAAGGGCATGCATGAGCAGATAGCAACGTCCGATTATATGCATACACATATATACATAGACACCTTCAGTCATTTCAACAACTATTAACTTGTTTTGGAGCACGCATCTATTGGAGGCCGAAGGAATATTATGCACAAGGGGCTTGCTTACCTATAAGCGAAGCCCCAGACTTGAGAAGTCAGTCATAAATTTACAGCGTATTCAATTCCGTACGCAGACAGAACTGAAGCTTCTGTTGATTAAAATGAATTTCTATGGGATCAAAAGAAACACTTGCAAGGAACCAGAGCTTCCACTTCTCAAGTCAATTGCATGTCTCTGGTACCTTTATTGCAGAGAAGCAGTAATTCTATTCCTTTCATAGGAATGAAGGTTTTTTGTTCTGCAAGCGGCCTTGTTAAGGAGTTATTAAGGAGTCATTATTTGTTTTGGGTTTCGTATACTTCTTGCATTCCATACTTCTGCAATTAAAATATTCTTAGGGAGTCTCCTTTGCATAAACGTAAAATGAAAATTGTATTCGGCATGCTTTTTCTCCACACTCTTAATATCCAAAGAATCCAAAGGTCACTCTTCAATGCAAGAGTCGAAATCACCTCAATATTTCCCGCATTTTTCCTGTCAATTTTAAGAAGGAAATCTTAAATGATTGGCCCTGCATTTTCCTCATACAATTCATTACTGCATGAATTACGAAGTTGCACGACGATTGTCCCACTCTCACACAAAATCCATTCTTACAAGCCCTCACCACATTGACTTTACTAAGTGAATATCTTTTGCTTCAATAAGAGGAACTCTCAAATCCACTGGTCTTGTTTTTCCCCATACAAATCCCTGACTACATGTTCCAAATTCTTAACACAAATCCTTAAATCCTGGGCTCCTGTTGCCCTATTCTCTATGTATCAACCCTATGGTAAATAGACTTCAAGTTTAGCGAAGAATCCGCAAATCTGGACCTTTTTTTTCTACAAAATTACTGACTAGATGTGATTAGGTGTTAGCAACTGATCATATACATGTATGCATACTCATATCTTCCAACTGCTCATGCCTAAAATATTCTAAAAATTACCACGTATCCTCACATGGCGTTTCTCATATGGTTTAATAATGTGAGCGTGCATTGCATTTTATTGGCACTTGGATGTTTCGTATGCCGTTCAATGTCGCGAACTTCATTTGTCGGCTCCAGGAACAAAATCTTCAAGGAAATCATGTGATGTAAAAAAAAGTCGGGAGCTATCCGAATAATTTCGGGCCTGGGCTCCTCGCCTCGCCTCCGGAAGGTCTCGGAGACCGCCTCCTCATTCCTGGATGGGCGCCAGAAGGTACAGAGGCTCCGGAGAGTCCTAGAGTCCTAGGAAAGGATGGGGGGGCGGGGGGGTGGCAAAAAAGACATTTTTTTTTGTTTGCACCCACACCCTCCCCCTAGCCAGTCTCTATCCCTCTCCTTTACCAACCTTGGGGCTTCCTTCGAGCCTCCTTAGAGCCTTCCCCGAGCCTTTCTTCCCTATTCTTCCTGTAGTCTAGCACATGCTTGGTAGATTAACATGAATGCTAAGGATACTAAGCTTCTTCACAAAAATAAGCATCGTATTTGCAAAAACATTACACATAATTATGAAATCCCTGAGTTATATGTTTTTTAGCGAACGCCACAAACGTGGGTCCTATAGTATCTATAGGACGAGGCTGAAAAGCTAATCCCCACAAATACACGCCGCCAGGGTGTACCATACTGTTTTCAAACGAATTCCCTATACTTATATTATATTAAAAGTAAATAGGGTTTAGGGTTTAGGGTAAATTAATTCCTGACAAGACTACAGTCACCCTAAACCCCAGCTTCCCATGGATCCTGCTACCTCCATGAAAGGACCTTCGAGGCGTAGTCTCTGAGCTTCAGCCAAGGCTTTCCTGGGGCTGTGGGACAAGTCGCCGAGACTTTTCTATCCTGGGTAGGTATAGGGTTTAGGGGTTTAGGGTTTAGGGTTTGGGGTTTAGGACTTAGGGTTGAGGGGTTTGGGATTTGGGGTTTAGGGTTCATTTTTTTTGAAGGTTTCGCGTTGAGGGTAAGTATAATCTGTTTTGCAGCACGTTTTCTCCACGGAACGAAGGTACAGGGTTTAGAGTTTTGGGTTCAGGGTAGGTATCGGGTACTGCCCCCACCCGGGAACAATGTATAATATAGGTATATGTAGAACTATATCAAAACTATTTTTCAACTGTTACTGAGGCTGTATCCTAGGTGGGTGTATTGCTCCAATTTAATACTTTAGGGTTTAAGGTCATGTTGGGATTATATTGGATTTAGGGAGGTTACCCAAACAATGGAAAGTCTAATGGAAAAGAACATGAAACATGAAATGGACACGGTGATAAGGTTTGCAAAAGCTAAGTACGCACAGTACGGAAGACTAACATTATTCAACATGGGACTTATGAGAGACTGTAAGACAGTTGTCCCCACCCAGTTTACAACTAGTTTGCTCCATCCTTCACGTGGCATCTAATTGATAGGTACGTCGTGTCAACACCCACCCCTCTGCCATTAAATGTTCCCAACTATTTCAATACACTGCAATTGGACTATTTAGTTTTAGGGGGATGAATTGTAATAATAGAAGGGGGAGTGGATTTGGGATTTTGCATAGGCGGCTGCGTCATGTTTTTCAAGTGTCTCAGCTTCACCGTTTGAGGACGTGAAATTGCGACTCCCCGTCCTTAAGCTCCATGGACTGCTCCTTCGCTGCCGAATACTTAGACGCAGCCGAGATTTAAGGAAAGAAGACTAGCCAGCCTCTCATTGTTACATCCCCGCCCCTAAGCCCTAAACCCCAAATCCAAGGCCCTAATCCGTAACAATATGATCCATAACCTCCTTAACTCCTTGGCCGCTGGTTGCAAAAGTTGGTGAAGAGAAAGGCTTAGGCTGAAGAAAGGATTGCCCCTAGCCGGGTTTAGGGTTTATGAGGCTCTATTGTGATTCTTGCTATTACTGCTAGTGTTCATTCTTAATATTGCGGGTACTGTTGATACTAACGCATTACGACTAACTTCATGCAGAGGAGTTTTCAGGTGAGCAGCTACCTGGTGGGTACCCTTACATAAGGCGTATACAAGGCTTATGTGAGGGCACTGGGACTATATAAGGGCTATGCAAGGCTTATACGGGGGAAACTGCCCGCCTGAAGCTCCCCTAGATTTATTCTTAGAGCTATGAGTACTGTCAAGCCTGAGCCACGGCGACGGCCTTAGCTCTCGACTTTGCGCCCCTTCTTTCAAAAAGGTGCATTCTTTAGGCCATTCTGTTCTACAGTAGCTGTGGCCGATAGAGAATGGGCTATATTGGCCCCTTAATAAGAACCCTGTTAGGACACTTACTGGAAGAACGAGCTAGTGCATTCTTGTACTTCCGGTGTTGGCGAAATTCAAAACATTTACTGTAGAAAAGATCCAAAACTCTAAGCCCTCAAGCCTTAAACCCTGTGGCCAGGGCATGCAGCCGGTGGAATTCAGCCAGAGCTGATCAAAGCTAAAATCACAACCCAACAAGGGTTTAGATAATAATAATAATCATAATAATAGTAACGATGATAGAAATAATGGTAATAGTAATAATTATGGTAATAATAATTGTGGGTTTAGGGGATCCCTGAACTGCGGCTCTCCCATCGTGTGATTTTAGATGAAGGCGCGGCAGAAAGTCTCTTGAGGTCCGGTTCTTCGCTGAAATTGTCATTGAGCGGTGCCCTCTGATGTCTGACTGCTAAGCTACTTCAGTAGTGGAGTACCGTTTAAGGTTTAGGGCTTAGGGTCTGGGTTGGCCCCTAAAACCCTTTGACAAATATTAGTATATAGGGCCCCTGATTAAAGCCATTAGGGAAAATATTAAATGTCCTAGGGGCCTACCCAGGGGTCTAGAGTACCCTTCATTCGCTTATCGGCGCAACGATGGCCGAGGCAAGACCGTGGGACGCTGGAAGTCTACCATGGTCTGGTTGCTCAAGATCTCCCCATTGCATCCTGGGCTGTTCAGTAGCCCCTTGGAAAAAGTATATAACTTTTGTGGTTCAGAGTAATGTACTAGGAGCCCAAAAGGGATGAACAAGTATGCCGCTGAACAACTTAGCATCTGGAAGTCTGCGGCCACAAAAGCCGATCCAACTCACGGCTTCGACGCGTGGCCTTCGCTATTCGCTGGAAGTCCTGAGAAGTCCAGGCTGAAGTATCCACCGACGATCTTGCTGCTGCTTTGGCAGCTAGAGCCTGTGTTGCGAGCTCCTGGCTTCGAGCCTCCTCATGGGCAAGGCTCTGGCAAAGTTCAGCCCGTAGGCTTCTCTCAACCTGCACTTGACTTTGCAGTTCTTCGCACTCCTTCTCAAACTGTGCAGGGCAGGCCACGAAGACTTTAACAAAGTAATCAACCGGCCGCCGGCACACAGGGCACAGCTGCAAGTTGTTGAGGCAAAGCTGACACACGCACTGGTGACCACAAGGCACCGCCACCCTGTCTGCCCAAGGCTCTAGGCAAACCTGGGTTGCTGTTACGGAACTTGAGTAAAGTGACCAGAACCGGTGTATATAGTTAGTGGTAGGATTTCCTTACCATAGTAAGCCTGAATCCTATATACACTTATTGTGGTAACTTGGTCTAAGTTCCTTAACAACAGCCCAGAAACTGCACAGACGCTTCTGCTCGTCGCCCAATTAGAGCAGGAGGCCTCTAGAGAACATGATAAACCATAAACCCTAAACTCGAGACTCTAAGCCCCAACCCAAACCCTAAACCCAATGCTTCGTGCCCAGTCTTGGCCTCTGCCAAATCTTGTTCCTGTTCGGTTGACCGTGCTTCCAACATGTCCTGAATACACTTGGGCTAAGGGTGTTGGGTTTAGGGTGTAGGGCTTGGGGCCTATGAGATTTCATTGTCAGGGCCTTTTGAGGGAATATACAGGTCTTAGGGTAGGTTTCGTTCTTATGGCTATTGAGAGAATATCCAGGGTTTGAGCTTGAGAAAAAATTCTTATGGCTTTTGAGTGAATATACAAAGGGATTATGCTCCATAATGCTTCAAACTCATTCTGAGGAATATCCCAGTCTCTGCCTGCTCTGACACCTCAGTCCGGAGCTTTGCCAACTCAGCATATGCCTCGGAAGCTTGCACTTCATGCGCCTCCAGCGCCAGCGATTCTTCTGATGCAGAAATTTGATGCCTTTGCAGCTCCTGCTGCAACTGGCTTCTTAATGCCGTGACCTCCTGTGCTGTGATGTCTGCTGCTGTGTGTGCTGCCTTCAGTTCAGATTCAGCTGCCTGCAGCTGGGCTGAGGTCTGCCGCAACATCAGACGTAGCTTTTCATTTTCACGTACTGTGCGCCAGCACAATACATCGGGCCCAGAGTGGGAGCACCATCTTTGACCTGCGCAGTCTTCCCCCAGCGCTTCTGCCTCCACCCCAACATCCAAAGGGTAGCTGCAGCGACCACCCATTGGAGCGTCACGGCTGAAATGGGTGAATAATCTATAATACTGCGGGTGGCGGAAATCTGGCACCACCAAACTCTGTACCACATACCCTAGACGTTTCAGTAATATGTGGATCCTAACTGGTGCAGGATTTCCTCCTTTGCATCACCGAATAATGACGCCCGTACAAACCTTTAAAGGATGCTTCGCCTCGTATCTACACGGTTTAGGTTTTAGGGTTGCCGGTGATCAGGAAGATGTTTCCGTTGCATTAAAGTCTCGCACATGGTCCTGACTGCGTAAGGTGTAGGGGTGTTTCCCAACCATGGAGAATCAGAAGGAAAAGGAAACGGAAGATGAAATGGACACTTGGATACATACTTATACGAGGGCCATATGAGGGATGTGCAGGGGAATAGGACAAGAATCATGGCTGGCAACTACTGTGCTACTTAGGGAACATACAACATGAACTTGAAACTGGGATGTTTCTTGTCCAAACGCACACAAGCACTAGACCTTGATCCGGAGTGCCTTCAGCAAACACTTTAATGATTTTCTGGAAGGTACTTTCAAATACAACAGATTTCCTTATGGATAGGCTCTCTTATATAACAACAGGAGCAAGGGAAGTACTCAAAATGCCACCTAGCTCGTGGTGTAGATCATTGTCAGTCCACTGCTGGTGGCATTTCAACATGCCCGGCACCGCGCCATACCCTTTTGCGGCAGGCTTGTACGTCCAGCACCGCGCCTTACCCTAAACCTTAAGACCCTATCCACATGCTTCCGAGACTCGCGTCCACATCCATTGTTGTCAGCGGCCTGCGCCGCGAAGGTCTTGCAGCTTTTCTTGGCGGGGTGACTATCGTCACATCGTCTTCTTCTGCAGCCGGGCCTACCATTCCGTTCGCAGTGTCACATGGGCTGCGAAAGGTACTGCGAAAGGCTTGCTTACCTTTGCCTGGTGCTTCATCCGCTGCTTTCGCCTGCAAGTCGCATACGCATGAAATCTTGGGATCTGCTCGACTGTGCGAAAACGTCGATGGTGCCACCTCAGCCTGTGCTGCACCAGTTGCTAGATGAAGCATCTGAGAATCAAGTTTGCTGGGATAGATTTAGGGGCATTATATGTGGGTAAGGGATGCTGGTCCACGATAAATAAATGCGCCCATGAATATCCCAGACAGGAAGCAAGCAAGCAACTTGCGTGCCTTTCGCCGCGTAACGGTAATGACAGAGGCCGCATCAGCGTTGTAGTCTGCAAGCGTCTTGCCTCAGGGTTAAGGGTTCAGGGAGAGTGATACATAGATAACCCCAAAACGTTGAAAGTTACCCACTGGACAGGCAAGTTGCCCTCCGTAAGATCCATGCCATCTATAAGGACTGCGGCAGGTCTGAAGCCAAGCAGACGCTGCACAGAAAGCTTCACAGCATCGATCGGATCAGTTTCGCGAACGGCCAAACTGCGCTTTTTGCCCAGATGATGAACTTTCAGCTGGAGTGGCATGGCACCTGGGGATTGCAGCCATACCACACAGCCAAAGATTGAACAGGATTGAACAGGTCTGCATCCGAGCGGCCTTTGACTACAGCGGCTTGTGGAGGCACCCTAGCTGACGCCAGCTGTACTGAGCCTTCGGCCCCCGGTGTCACGTGCCAAAAGCATGTGTTAACTCTTCCGTGTTGCGTGGACTCTCAGCATCCAAAGCAGCAAGCAACTGCACAGCAGGAAGGACAAATTCCGAGAAATTGCCATCCACCTTAAACCCTAACCGTAAACCCGTATTCCACACTTGCAATGGCACTTTGTCCAGCTCTCAGGCATGCGTTAACTGCCGTCCGGCGCACGACTTCTTGGAAGGGCTGCGCGCTGATTGCCAGCTAACATACTTCGAAGCCTAACCTTCCTAAACAACCTGCATCTCCAAATGCAAGCAGTTGAGTAGCATTTACGATAACTTACTGGAGTTTAGTAGGGAGTTGGGGAATGGAATTCCTACATAATCCCCATGTCATACAATTACTCCCTGATTCCCTACCAATCCCATATAATCCCTATATATATCCTATTCTAATAGAATACTCCCTCGTTCCCTACTAACCCCTTGTAAGACCCAGCCCCTAAAGGCCGGCCACACCCGAGCGACGAGCTCACTGCGCGGAGTGGTAAATTTATGGCAGCACTCGATCTGCGTTACAGGCTATTATACAAGGGTTCTATGGGATATACATGGGTTATATGGGGTTATTATAGGGATAATGGAATTCATGGCAGCGATTGAAGCTGTTGCAGGAGTTGCTGCTGCATCGCCCGAATCTCCCGCATCAAGACCTGGCACATGCAAAGGCGTCATCTCAGCCATGAGATTTTCGAACTAGGACTAGTCCATTTGAGCTATAGTCTGGACACCTAGTACCCCTCCTAATAACCCCGATAGGTTTGTATAGTCACCTACATAGTCCCCCTTTAAGGAGTTTAGGCAAAAGCTCATGTGAAGCCAAGCCGCCAGAACATCCAAAGCTTTAGCAGGGCCCCGAAGGCGCAAACAACCGCTAAGAAACTCGTCTGCGTCGAGGGTGCCGTCGTCATCCAGGTCCAATATCTTGAATACCTCGGATCTTAGTAGGGAATGTAATTACAATCCCTATATAATGTGTTCCCATATTCCCCTGGGGAGGCTCATCATGATGATCATGTTCAAGGAAGCTACTTGCAGCCTCAGCCTAAGCGTGTTGGCCGGCTGCTTGCATGGTGTTTTTGCCAGAGCATGGTCAACGACTGACAAATTGTAATCTGCTGGTGAGGAGGCGGAAGCAACTGCTGTCCTCTTGAGAATACGGCTTATCTGCCGAATCGTCTTTTTACAGGATACCACGAACTAACGCAGAAATCTCCACCGAGGTGCGCAATGTGCTTCAGAGATGTCTAAATCAATAGCTTTGAAAAGCTCCTCAAGCGGCAACATCACGCGGTTCTGACTGCACGGCACGAGGCAGTGTGTAGTATCCCCCCTTAGTACCCCCCAGAGTACTCCTCTATATAAGAAGCCCGTTTAAGGAGTTGAGACCCCCAACCCTTCACCCTATAATCCCCTATGAAATCCTTCATGTTGCCTGGCATGTTCACGCACGCACTCCTTCATGTCCCTTGAGTTTAGGCTTGCCTGGAAGTCATCCCATGTTATGATGCCCGAGGATGAGCTCTCCATTCGCCTAGGTTTAGGGCTTAGAGAATTAGGGTTTTAGGCTTAGGGTTTGAGGTTTAAGGTTTAGAGTTTAGGGTTTAGAGTTTAGAGTTTAGGGTGGCAAAAGACTTTCTCGTGCATGCTCGTCAAGTCGCTTGAACACACTTCGAACATATTGCACAAGATAGGTATCCTTGTCCTCTTTCCCCCTCTTCACAGCGCTCTCGACACATACCTTGTTTCTCAGCGAATGAAGCTGCCGGTACGCGCTCAACTCTCAGAAGAAATCCGGTCAACTTGGTTGTCTGTTCTTGGGCCGCGGCTCCAGTGATTACGTTGAGTAGGGCCAGCTGCGTGAAGGCAATATAGCCTTGGTCGCCCAATCACCATATTACAAACTAGGGCGCCCTTTTTGTTGGTTCATAATTTTATCTAGGTTCCCCAGCAACCCCTTCACAATAAAGGTACACTTTTTCCTACTGTTCTGTTTTAATAAGGAGACACCCAAAAAAAAGGAAGAAAAAGGGTACCACTGGGGTACAAAAAAGGGAAAAAAGGAAGCCACTGGACTTCCTAGTAGCAAAAGACCACAAAGACTGCTTGGGCCCCGGTGTGGTCCTCAGTGCTCGACCCACTTCCATTGCAGGCACTGTCGCTGGTGGTAGTGGCAGCCGTAGTAGCGGTACTAGTAGTACTAGTACTAGTACTAGTACTAGTAGGAGTAGGAGTAGTAGTAGTAGTAGTAGATGATTCCACCCTATGCATTTCTGGGCTTACAACTTGCAAGGCCAAACTGAACCAACCATAACAGATTGCATTTGCAGCCATGGCAGGGTGCAATCAAAGGCTTCACCGCATTCGCCCAGTCCATGCCCCCTGTGATGATCTGCCACAGCGTGAGCATACCTGCGCATCTGAAAAAGTTGGTGCACAGTGTTCAGGATCGCATCCAGAGGCATTGTGGAAGCATTTATGCATTTGCCCGGCCTTGGGCCAGAGACCCGTAGTACGTCCTCAGCAGAGGGGAAAGGTACCGTTGGTGCAAGGACTCTTTCACGCTTGACTTCAACATGGATAGGTCTAGGGCCTTAGGGATATTACCTCAACAACGGAGAATAAAGCAAAACAAACAATGGAAAGTGAGGATGCGTGGTAGTTTCCACAAATAAATACTATGATCCGTGTCATTGGGATCCCCAGAAAAGTGACCCTAATTTTGCGAACGCCCCATGTAGGTCTTTATCAGCAGCAACACCCGACGTCTCTCAAGCTGAGCTGCCCCAACTGCTCAAAGCCCGCGTCTGAAATACCGGTATCCACTCGGTAGTAGTTGCCTGGGTTGCTGTGAAGGAACGTAATTAGGTTGCTATAACGAGGAAACCCTATGAATAAAAGTATATACCCATATGATGGTAACTTACCTTGAGTTCCTTAACAGCAACCCGGGTGCACGTGTCCACCAGGAAGACAGCAAGCAGGTAGATCCTCGGATTGGGGTATTTTAGACCCCTTGGCCTGAACCTGGCTATACAGGATTTTCTATAGGGGGCTTATATGGGCCATCATCTTAAACTCCTTAAAGGCTATGTAAGGGGCTATATAGGGGACTACTCTAGGGTTATATGTGGTGTTATATACCTGATTTTCTAGAAGGGGTGTACATGTGGTGTTATACACTGCAGGGGATGATATATGGTGGTGTTATATGGGGGATTCTATAGGGCTAGCTTTCTCAGCCAAAGCACAGCGTCATAAGCACCAGCCTCATATGGCTCATGGATGCAGTCTGCTAGCAAACACTCCACAACACCGTCACTCCCAACTGTTAACTAAATAGTAGCTTCCATTTTCTTTTCCATTATCCCAATAAATCCCTCATATCACCGCTATATAACCCCTATACCCCTCCCACCCCTTTACCCCGAAATAAATCCTAAGTCCTAAATAATGCATCAAAGGGGCAGAGCTCCCAACAAAGGCTTGAAGGAGGTGCTCACAGACCAAATGATTGCCCGTACCTCGCCCAGCATCCTCAGGGCAAGATGAAAGCTTGTGTTGATATGTGAGGGTTTCCCAAAATCAGCGTTATTTTCTGGGGGGTCGCTAGAACAAGGATAAGCGTAAGTTGGGCTCTATATTGAGATTTCCCCCCCGACTTGGGGAAACTACCATATATGCTGGGTAGAGGAAAGATATGGGACTACAACCTAAAGGACGGAGGGCAACGCTGTCAGGAAAGGGGTCAGCATTTGCCTCAGCACGCGGTAGCTTCGCACCTCAGAAGGGCTCCAGAACTCTAGGACTTATGGTTTAGGGTTGAGGCTGTGGATGCCTCATTTATGCGCACGAAACATGGCATATAAGCTCTCGGCAATGCGCACAAGCCGCACCATTCGGATCGCCCGCATGATGTTGAGGTTCACGCTGTTGCCATCATCGGCCGTGGATATGGTAACGACAACCTGCTGCCAGTTTGAACTTGTGGCGCTTCGTAACATTCAGAGGCTGGAGAACGACTGTGCGAATGGATGAAGATGGGGCTCCAACAGCAGGAGCCCATTTTGTGAAGGTCTGCATAGTAAGGAGCATGGTATTTTGAGGTTATATGTAGTATTTTGTGAGCTCGCCCTTTTTTGGAACTACCATATCTGTCCAAGGTTCGTCAAGCCACTGAAGCGCCATCAGAAAGAAGTCAAGCAGGTTCAATTGCCAAGCAGTTCCAAGAAAGAATCGGGAGGGGTTGGCGGAGATCTTCAGAAACATCTCCAATGTGAAGAAGGCACCTAACGCTGGTCGTCATGTTGTCACCCACCTACACCGAAAGCCGAAACCATACTTACGCTATACTGGAACGGAGGAGGTATTTTTTTTTTAAATATAGGGGAACGCATAACCCCCAAATACACCCTAATATACCAAAATATCCTATAGTCTATTATAGAATCCGATAATATCCTATAATAGATATCCTATAATGTTCTATAGTACACTACATTAAGCGATAATATACTACAATATGCTAAATATACTATAATACACTTCAATATGCTACACTATACTACAACATACTATAACATACTACAATATACTATAGTATACTATAAAATCCTACAATAGACGATAATACCCTATAATATACTATAACATTTTCTAGTACACAGTATCACTCCAAATAGCAGTCTCTGCAGGTTTCCGAGGCACAGAAGGCCCAGCCAAGACCAATAAATTCCTCTGGTGTCGTGGCTGACAAATTGGCAGCCATGATGTTGGTTTCTAACCTGGGTTCAAGGGTTTAGGGTTGAGCGTTAGGGTTCAAGGGTTTAGGTTGATTTGGGTTAAGGGCTTAGAGTGATTTGGGTTTATTGTTTCATATATGGGCCATATTGGGGCAATATTGCGGAACCTTTTAGGGGTACGAGTACAACCCAGGAACCCTTCATTGGTTGCGTTAACGTACTTCGATTAGCCTACTCAAGCACGGGGTTTCGGGCCTAGGTGTCAGGGGTAATCTGATTTGATCTAAACTCCCTTTTTGCAGTAAACCATCAACTCAACACCAACCCAGAAGCCCCAAGCAAAGAGCATTAATGAGGATGACCGTCAACGTCAAATACTCCATCGGCCACGCATAAACCTGCCGCTACGCAGTTTAGGGTTTAGGGGTTTAGAGGCTTAGACCAACAATATGTTTATTAATCCCTTGGGCATGTACTATTATGGCACAAATCAAAAATTTCATTTCTAAGAAGACCACAGAAACCAGCATCTCGTATATGTGCCACCAGGAAGTACGAGGTTCAGCGTCTTCCTGTTGCAGAACCTCTTTCACAGTATCTGTTTGTTGAACTCGCTGTGCCAGGGCATCCCAGCCGTTGTCCTTTGAGTTTTGATGCCTCCTACGGGCGTCTGGAGTACGGGACTCTTGCTCCTCTTTCCCTTTGGAGTCCTCTTCTGGATCTGGTAACTGGGCAAAGCTTGTGACACTTGATCTTGCGCCATCTGCCTGGGCTGGTTTAGCTGCAGATGATACAGGGGCAGGTAGGATCTCATCCACTGCCGGCTCTGCATCTGCCTGGACTAGGCCTGGCAGAGCTGGTAGTGGCTCCCCCTCCGGTAGCGGAGGTGGCACAGCCTTCAATGATGGCTTCCTTTGTTGCCCAGTATCTAGGGCCCAACCCTCAACCAAACCTTGTTGGCGTTATCTTACCACAGAGGTCAAATGGTTACCCACGGTAAGCCCTAAACCCTAAATCCTAACCCTGACAGCCTAAACCCTGAATCCAAAATTTTTAGTCTTACACCCTACATCCTAAATCTTAAGCCCTAAATCCGAAACCCTACACCCTAAACCCTGAATCCTAAATTTGAAGCCCTACACACTAAATGCTAAATCCCAAGCCCCCCTAAATCCTAAATCTTAAATCCTACACCCTACATCCTAAATCCGAAGCCCAAGCTTCTTTGAAGCATGGGGGATGATATGGAGAGGCTCTTGCTCCGACTTAGGACCATGGCGGCTTTTGTCCACCACAGCTTTCCTTGGCTGTTCAGTAATATGGCAATGACGTTTTGCGGGTTTAGGAGCTTTCCTAGGCTGTTTAGTAGTAAGAAAAAATGTAGGGGTTTGGGGTTTAGTGTTTAGAACTTAGGATTTAGGTATATACCTTTCAGGTTTCATGGCAATATACTGGGAACCTAGAATTCCAAATTATTTACTTCGAGCAT